TTCAAAAATATTTTATTCTTTCCTTCTGACGTGTACATTCGAACGAGTTGGCTAGGAGCTGGCGAGAAATCGCAAAATAAAAGGCAATCTTACGGGTGCAACAGCAGATGGCTATCTCTGCCCGATCTCAACAAATGAGGAAACAATTGGACCAAGGAACAAGAATATCGCTGACTTCGAATTGGAAAATATGCTTCGTAGGAAATGAGACGGGTTTCTGGGAAATGCTGGCCATGACAAGGTAGCCACCTGTTTTTGCCATTTATACGTTCGCAGCAAGTGTATCGCCGGATTTCGTGGTGCGAAAATAAATAATTCTGCTGCTTAAGGAAACTCGTAGCTCGAGATTTCTTATATTTCCGCTTTTATATCGCACTTCCGTAGAATTCTATTTATAAAAAATCAAATCCTAGAAAAAGAAGCTGAAAGTTTCTAAATGTAAAAAAAAAGAGAAAAAAATGCGAAATGAATTTTAACAATTCGATATAGGTACTATCGCTATAGTCTCAAAATAAAATCAGTTAAACGTAAAGAGAGATACAAAAATAAAGATTGTCTATCGCCTATGCAATTGGCTGATTCCGTGTTAAAACATTTTTCACTTGGTCGTTGCCCAAAGGAATAACTTTAATTTCGCGCATAGTATCCATCACGATAAATTGAACCCGGAGTAGCACAGTCTCCAACGTTCTAAAGCGATTTCACGTAATAAAGAGAACCGTTCGAGTGATCCTGGAGGATTCAATCAAAGCTGAAAGGCTATCGATTTAAATGAAGTAGATAAATTAAGATCAGATCGGGGTAGGGAAAAAGAAAAAAGCGAACTCGAGAAAGGCGAGAAAAGGCGATATAAGTCGAGGGGGGAAATGTCAGGACGGAGGAAGAAGGAAAGAATCTGGGGACAAGGGAGTCGTTATCAGGGTACAGGAGAAGACTGATAAGACAAAAGTAGTAACGTGCTGGGTGGAAACCATTCCAATGGACCATTGAGTCCAAGATGTTCCATCCAGTTGCCGAAGATTCTCATGGGATGCCGATTTCTCCTATGATCACGTAATGAGGCTGACGAGACTCCCTTCTCGTTTCCTTCCATTTCCATTTCCTCTTTTCAAGACCATGTAGAACTATCGTCCGGCACGCGCTTAAAACTCCTTCAAATTACGAGCTCCGCGATGCAGTGAAATTATCTAGTTCGTTGAACTGCACCGTTCTGTTCGCTGACATCGAATGAAGATCGCGGAAATCTGGCGATCCGCAATCCTGAAACAGTAAAATTCTGATTTTCTCGTTCATCGGATCGGTCGTTATCCTGTACTCGTCTTCGTCGTCAACTTTTCGACGTCGTTTTTATTTGCTCTTTGAAAATCGAGTCCACTCGAACATTCTTCGTCGTCTTGTTTTTGATGAAGTCGAATTCGGACTGGTACCTCGCCACGGCGAACAGGAAAATGTTGGAAGATATTTCCAGTAGCTAAAGGTAAGGGAGATTCTTTACGTTGTTTTAAGAAAGTGAACATTGCTCGGATACCTACGTTGTATCGTGTTTCCTTCACAAATTTTTTCACGCTCCTGCTTCAGGCTATTGTACGTATCTTCAACGAGAAGAATTTTTAAAATGCAAAAAGAGAGTATTTTTTTAGCGTTAGCCAGGTACGTAAATTTACATTTTAAAGACTTCTCCTTATTATCTTGTATCTTCGTCTATGTCCAGCCATATATGATCGTTTGTTTTCGATAATATACAATATTTATTTTCTATTGTCTCCCACAAATCCATGGTTCCATGGTTGCATTAATATCGAACAATATTTATACAAATATCGCATAAAAAAGAAGGAATCGATATAACCGTGATATATTGCAACGATTGTGTGACACGATGATATTCTCAAACCTCTGATATTTTTTTAAAACACGATTATTGATACTGACAACCGTGAACTGATCGAATTAATAAACAGGTAATCGAAACGAACAATGTGACATAATTGATTTAAAACAGGAATTTCTATATTAAAAGAAATATTTGCACTCATTCAAATATCAGAGAAGGATCAATGTTGGTGATTTTTAAAAAGAGAGCATAGAGAGTAGAGTGATTGGGTGATTTAATACTAAACCAACCGTCCAGGAAGATGAAGTAGAGGAGAAATGCGGTTCTACGAAGGTAAGTGGTGTGGTAAACAGTAAAAAAAAGTAGAAGGTCCTGATTTTGAGGTAGGTCGACTGTAATTGGGGTGCGCGGTATCCCATTGTACAGAAAATTAGGAAGCGGATTTTATAGCTACGTTTTAACGACCCTGGTACAGGACTTTTCTAATTAAGAGCTTACCATCCGTGTTGTTAATAGCTTATTTTGTCGCTAAGAGGATTATTAGAAATTTTTAAGAGGTTTAAGCTTGCGAAGGGTTTTAGTTGCTCAAAGGGGTACAGAACACTAACCACGTCGAAATTTTGTTGCCCGCATAAAACGATAATTATTTCCTCCTGCTCTGCGTATATCTAAAAATGTTCGATACAACTCTCACATGTACGAAAATTGATACTAAAAAATAAATCGTTTAACAGAACGTCAAAAACATGACGCATTAAATGATACCGATCGCAAAACAATTGTGATAGACGCGTGAAAATAATTGACGAATTTAACGACGGATTTTTCTGTGACATGATATCAATGCAACTTGAAATTTCAAATTTCACCGGTACAAAAGTTTGACCGCGTATATGCTCGTTCGCGTTGAACACGAACGAAGGGATGGAACGAATACATCCGTTATTAGCTCGTCATACACGAGACTCGGATTAACCGTGTACTTTCCAGTGAAAGTTTCGCATATTATTCTGCGTTATATCGCGGACGTAGATAACAGAATGGCAGGAAGAGAGCGCGGCTTATCAAGTTCGTAGGTTGCAACTTTCTCGTCCGATTGATTATATTTTGAACAACCCAGGAGAGATCGTGTTCTCAAACGTATAACAAAAATGGATCATTTATTTAATATATTTTAACTCAACATGTTTTTAATTGTATCTTGTGCCATTCAATATGGATAAGAAATTAATAATTTTGTTACATTTGTACGCTTTGAATTACTTAAACTTTTCTTTTAATAAAACATTTGAACCGGGTTGTGGTACAAAGTCCCATTTTTAAATATGTATATATTAGACATGTTGTAATGAATTGCATCCTCTGTTCTTTGTCTATAGAAACATTTTTCAATTAGAAACAATATACGGTATATGATATGGCAAACTCTGTTCTAGGGTCGTACATGTTATCAGATACAAATTCTGTACGACAAATATTAATGAAACAATGTACATACCTATTTCTTATTAACCGATTCTTAGTTCATTTTAATAATGCTATTCCTAGGATTTCTAGCATTTAAAGGAAAATATCATCGATATTTTTAACGTATCTGATAATAAATATTGTTCATGATCGTCTCACAGCAGAACATTAACGTGACAAGCATTAACGTGAAAAACCATCGTGCACGCACTCGAGGCGCTTTTTCCGTTTATTTACGAGAAACTTTGAAGGTGATGGGGACAGCCACGAGGAAAAAAGAAATTCGAGAAAACGAGTTTCAAGAAATTTCGCGAAAGATGTCCTCCCTGAAGATGGTCTTAAGATGGCACGTAAGAGCAGTGCACCGAAGGCTCGAGTTGCAGATCATTTATTTAGAAATCCGTCTCGGCTCTGACGACACCGGCACCGCTTCTAGCTCCCTCAGCAGCGAGCATCGACCCTCACGACCCCTGTTAAAGAGACACTCGCGAGGAACGTCGAGTGGAACAGGCGCAGGATAAACAGAACGTTTCCAGGGCTCTGGCACTATGTACCGGTGCAAGTTCGGACGGTGCTCCGTGTTAGCCTTTCTGAATCTATGTGTACAAACGCTCGAGAAGGAGGACGTGGAAATCTAAACGAAATCGTGACGGCCAGGGCGGATTTTCAGCGCAGAGAATAAAAGTACGATGAGTCGAGAAGTTTCGTAACAAGAAACTGCAATATCGTTACTGTCGTAGAAATTCGCTGACTACATGTCTGAGGAAAACAGCGAGACCAACCTTTTACGGTAAAAGATGTTTAAGTGTGTAAGTACAGAGTAAAAGTGTTTATTTGATGATGAAGTTTCCGATGAAAGTACTTGAAATTTTATTGAAATTCTAGAGAGACCATTGGTGCGTATATGGAGGATTGACAGGTTGACAGGTTGACATTCAACTTTTGTATTTTTAGTTCACTGCTAGTCTGTACTTGATTGATTTATATTTCTGAAATACCCCGTATAGAAAGATACATTAATATTGTAGGGTTTGACGATGATCCTGTGAAGATCACGATTGATCTGACACGTCACAATGTTATAGTATCCGACAATGCGTTTATTGAACAGCACTGAAACCTGTAGTATCAAATAACGGTCTATTAAAGGAATAGTCTATCGTTAAAGCCGTTACTTCCTTTCAATCATAAAAAGTCTACAATTCTCAAAAAATATATCCGTTTTGAAACAAACGATGAAAATGAAAAGCTTTCAAACAAATGCAGTTTCCAAATTGCTCTTAATTTATCAAGTTACTCGCCAGAGGAAAGCAGAGACATTTTTCTATTCATATTTTCTACAATAATACAATCTCTTCTCGTTTAGCAACTTCCAACAACGTAAAGAAATAAATCACAGAGGAGAGAGAGAGAGAGAGATAGAGAGAGAGGGAGGTTGAGAGGACAGCGAGAATTTTTCCCTGCTCCCTCGTATCAACCTTCGTTCAATGACAACAGACGTTCCGACGTACTTCCCAAAAGCTTATCTCCCACGTTCCTCGACCAACAGTTCCAACTTCCAGCCCTCGAATAAAAGGGAGGAAGTTGCCACGTTGGTGGTCTCCGATCGTCCTTCGTTTCGCGTTCTCCGCGTTTCAGAGTACGATTCGACTTTTCAACGTTGCTCGACTCAAAGCTCCCTTTTTGATCATTGTTGCAGATAATCACCTACGACCCGACCAGAGGCGGCGTATCCGTGGTCACGGAAAAGGGTGACATCACCAAGAGTTTTCTACTGGTGCAGGAAGCAAAGCCATCGGACTCTGGCCGGTACACCTGTAATCCCAGCAACGCTCAATCAAAATCGATCACCGTTCACGTACTCAATGGTGAGTAATTTCGACTTAATTACGGGCCGTCTCTTTACCCGGCTCGTTATCAAATCTAAACAGCGACGGTACTCGTAAATGGTTTTTCACATCGGATCGTTAGTGGGGATCCGATTCTTAAGCAAGATCTAAATTAATAAACGGATTCGTTTTCTCGAATTTCTTTTACCAGACGTACTAATAGCGAGGGAACGCGAAGGCGAGCTTCCCCGGGTTATTAATTTAAAATTGATGAACGTCAAACGAAGAATAGGAAAGAGGGAGAGAAAGAGTTTCAAACAGAGAACACGAGATCTGCTTTCGACACACACGTTTAATTAATGAATTCATTGCTTCGGTTTAACAGAATTTCCGTGTAAAACACCAACACGATTGCAACTGATGTTTGCACACTTCAACGTATTTGTACGTGACGCACCATTGAAACGACTAAATGTGTAGACTAAACGTACAGACGTGTGCGCGTATGTAGTGTATCTACATATGCATGAGGAAGTATCCGAATGTAGGAACGTTAACACGATGGCTTCACGGCCTTAGTAACAAAGTCAGTTTGCCATCGTAATTAGCTCGACTAGATGGAATTAAAGTACACCCTGAAACTTCGTCGACTTCGACCGTATACATCTTTATGTCGCGAACAGCAGATCCCAGCCAATATACTTTGACAACGTATTACTAGTCGTATCGCGAGATGCGGTGCCTTCAGAAAATTTAAGTGTTGTCCTCTGTTTCAGGAGAGTATCCCGCGGCAATGCAGCACGGCGGTCAAGCCAAGCAACCGAGGCTCTACTCCCTTCTGCTCTGTCTGTGTCTGCTGCTTTACTAACCGTTTTATTCCGGAAACGCTATTCCCCTTCTTTCTTCGCGTGGACGAACGGTAAACGAAAGACTTCCGCCGTGAGATCCAACGATCAGGGGTCGATCGCTGCCCCATCGAGGAAAGTACGCGCGTTCGTGCAACCGGAAATCACACGGTGCGGTGGTGCAGTGATCCAGCGAACACCTAACCACGACGCCGGTACGTCGATGAAATAGTGTATGCGAACGTTTGCGTCACGTCGACAGTCAATACGCGACCTCGTCGACGCTGTTAAAAGTTTCAAAGTTCGAGACGAACTGATGCGAGAATTACGTGACAGCCCTGTGAAAGCGCGAGAGTTGGCCCGAAACGTAACGTGGCGTCGCGGGTTCCATATGCGTGCGATTGAAACGAACTACGACGTCGAGAGCGATGATGCGGCAACGTTTCGACGACGCAACCAAGTGACTGATCGTAATCAGAGAACGAACACGCACTACGCTACGTAATAGCTCTTGACACGAGAATAACGTTGTCTTGACAGTGGGTCGCGGAATGAAAAAGCTCGAAGCAGCCGTAAAACGGAGCAGCGAACTGAAACGGTGAAAGACAAAGAATCAGCGGTCGAGAGGAAGACACAGAACGGAACAAGCATCGGGACAAGAGTGAATCGGAGTATCAAAGATCGTCTTTCCTTGCGTTTGAAAAGTGCGTAGATACGAAAAGGGGAAGATAGAAGGTAGACGAGTGAAAAAGAGAAAGTACAAAAAGAGAAAGCTATGTGAGTCATAGACCGACGGATTCGTTTTCGTACGTCGTCGGATCGAAAAGGGTGAATCGTTGCCACGCAACCGTAATTTTAATCGCATCCAGGGTATCGCGATGCTGTACACTAATATCGATATCTGTTAGGCAGAAGGACGATCGAAATGGTTAAGATCGAAAAGCTAATGGCCAAGTTCGATCCGCCTATAATCGCGTCCAAACTCGCGGCCTCCACGCTGAAATCGCTCAGCACCACTTAGTTCCGGAACTGAAGCCCTCGTTACGTCGATATTTATACGCGATACGCTTTCGATGGAAACAATGAGTTGGTGATCTCTCGTGCGACGAATGAAACTAAAAAAAAATAAAATTACAAAAAAAGAAAAAGAGGATCTCTCTCGATAAGAATTCTAGTCATGTAAGAATCAACTTCTCGAACTCACACGTTTTTTCTAACGGATTCATCTACTCTACTTTTCATTCGTTTCACCAACATCACGTTCTATTCAGTCGTTTCTCTTACGTGTCATCTATTTACGTCGTCTCTTTCTCGCTCGGTTGCTTTCAACGCCAACCGGTCACATGTAAGGCGGTCTAATTTACGGGACACGAGCATGATCGCGATCCACGTGTTACGTGGAACGGAAGTCAGTATACGATTAAGCGTAACGAATGAATTTCACAGGCTGACGCACGCTGGCGAAACTCGACTGCGACCGAGCAATTAATTTACCGTTATCACGACTCGATCATAATAAGTTTATTTACTTCGGCGACCGATACACACACACATACACCACCACGAGCAAATTTCCACCGTATGGCAAAACTGACGTTTCACGCAAATCGATTAATGCGGACGGTGTACTGACACACCACAAAATAAAACGCCTGTTAAAACGCCGAACCGAATGTGTCGTTGGCTTATTGCATGAAAAAATACCCGCCAAGTTCCCAAAAAATAAATTAACAGTAGGATGCATCGATGTATTGTTCGATGGTTATGAAAAATTTATTTTATGCTATTAATGGACTCATTTTTATCTTCTTTTTGGTATCGTCATATTTATATAAATACACGCAGATGTAATTATTTTATCTCTCTGTAATACGGCATTAAATACTTTGAAATGTTATCTCGTTAACCCACTGCACCGTCGATACGATGGGTAAATATTTTAATAGCTAATCCTGGGAGAAGATGTTTTATTTGATAAATTGATCAATCTGATCGAAACGTTGTAATTTATACCGTAATAATCTCACCAGAACGAAATTGAAGTATCATGCAGAATATCCAATATAATGCAGAATATTCATGCAATTTTAACGAGAGTATAAATTTTATTTTTTTTCACGAGCGTGAAACGTAGATCAATATCGCGTCTTTTTTTTCATACCCAAGCTGTATGATAGTTTCCGAACAATTTATTTCAAAACTCAATTGCAACGTGCGTCTTTTCTCGTACGGTAATGCTCGAAACTGCGAACTCGCATTTTCATTGTTCCTGGTTTTAAAAAAATCGTCGACGGTTGTGTCGAGAAAGTCGATTCGAGGAATCGATCGCATAGAGCAGAGCAAAAGAAAAAAGAAGAGAAGCGAACGGGGCCAAGGAGTAATAGACCGAAGCAAAATGGAACGGATGGAACACTCGATAGAAGGTATAAGACGCGTTAAAAAAACTGCTATGAACGTATTTGTCTAATCGATTGGCAGAACGTGAACGAATAGGATGCACGCGGTAGAATTAACTTTCCTAATTTGCTCCCTTCACGAGCTGGCTATTCATCATCGCCGAGCAAAAGTTCAACTTCGAAATGGAATTTGGTATAATAGCATCCGTCATAATCCGTGTCACTCACGGGATAACAACGTTGTTCCTCGTAGCAAATAAAAATTTATTTAAATCCATTCACCTAGGATTTAGCCTGAGAAAAAGTTAGGTCAAACGAACATTTATTCATGGATTGTTATAAAACTTTTAAAAGCATGTAATTTTAGAGACAACAACGTTACCAAGAGCTTTTCAAATATTTATGTAACAAACGTTTTTAATCGTTAATTCCAAGTTCCTGGTTTTTCGAATTTCATTCTACAAATGAAATTGTCTTCGAATGCTTTCCAATTACCAAAATAATCCTCTTCGGTTTCTGAAATGCACGACGGATTAATTAGAGCAAACGGTTGGTGGTCTTCTCTGTGTAAATGCGGACACACATAAAAGATGATTTTATGCATTCTCGATTCGATTTGATCTTTAAAACTCCGGAACATTCATATTCGACGATGCGTTCAATCCCTCCACTGCCAACAACGATGAACGATATTCGAACAAAATGCAATAAAAATAAATACGATATAACTATCGTAGTAATCGTGCATCGATATCAGTATTTCTCGAAAGATTGCATTACTCTATCCACATATCAATCATACGAGCGATACTAACGTCGCGAACGTTTCAGAAATAATATCGCGAATGTTTGAGAAATTGAATTTTTTTCCACGTCGATTCGATAATTTTAATCTTCCATCGTTCTTTGGACGAGAAAGTGCACACGCGGATTGAAATCTGACTGAATTGCAGAACAATCGTCAATTGCAAATATGTATACAACAATTACGTATGAAATCCGAGCCGATAATAAATCTCGAATGCTTTTATACTCGACACGATTTTATATATTGACCTTTTAGGTGGGATCTTTTCTCCCGCAATAATGGAAACGAACGATCAGCCGTCGATACGAAAGAAATGCAAAATAAATTGGAAATGCCGTTTCTTAAGTACGTCCGTAGCCAATCGTTTGTAACGCAATTGGAGAATAATAAATTCGATGCAAAATATCTTCTTAAGCGAATAAATTAAATTTAATGGCGGTTTAATGGGTGAAACAGGCTCGATAAAAACGATCGGTTCTTTCTGTCGTTGAAGCTCATATAAAACAGGGAAACGTCAACTAATCGGTTTTATATCAAAGTTTATCCTACGGAAGCACAAATTATCCGTTCCTCTACAATTTCATAATATATTTGTTATATTATAATTATTCTATTATACTACCAACAGGTAACGCTGTGATAATTTATTTTATTTGTAATACACAAAACGATTCGTTATCCTGTTGTTTATATAATTTCATAGATCCATTAGCTGTTTCTAAGAAATTTCTACCTGTGAATCTAACAAATTATTCGGTACGAGGAAATTAAACGAAAATGGACTTACGCTCTTCTCGAGATTGTATGTTCTTGCTCTTCATATGCAATCAAATTATGGGAATAAGTATAAAAACGAAGAAGAAAGAGCGAGAAAAACTATGAATAACGAATGAACAGGAACCGTGGCGAATATTTTAATCCGAGGACCTAGCCAACGAAACGAAGGTCGAGTAATATCTACTGGTGAACAAACGTGATTAAAAAACTTTGCCTGGGTCATAATGCAGCAGGTTGATTACATGTAAGAACGTTTCCCTGCTGACTACGTGAATATAATCGCATCTCCATAACGTCCACGATATCACGTGAACCTCGCGAGAAATAATGATTGCTGGTTCGAGCTTGATTTTGGCTTGTTCTTACCTCTTCCGTTTCATAGTGTGCTGTTGGATCGCGCGCGATTGCGGTAAATTTTTTTTCCTACCTGAAAATCGGACGATTTCTCCACAAAAGGGGGAAGGAACGGAAAAAAGAGTCGAGGGAAAAGAGAACGTGAAACGGGTGAAAAATAAAGGTTGAAGGAAGGGAACGAGAGAGAGACAGACAGATAGACAGACAGAGAAAGAAAGAAAGAGAAAGAGACGAAAAAAAAAAAGAAAGAACATAGGAAACAAGGGCAAAGACGGCGGTGGCG